ATTAGGTCTTTTTCGAGTGCCATTCTTTTCTCTATTAGCATTTTTTTTTTTTTAGTTGGTGTTTTGTCATTTTTGCATTCATCATGGCAACCCTTAATGTAAGTTACTGACTCCTATAATGCCAAGATGCCTGGTACCTGTCACCTTTTGTAATTTTGATTGCTTAGATATCAGCTGTATTGGAAACTAATGGAATCAACAAAACAAACAAACAAACAAAAAAAACAAAGAAAACAAAACAAAACAAAAATCACACAAACAAAACAAAACCAAATACCAAACAAGCAAAGAAGAGGCTTGATTGTGTTTTGTAGGTCCTACATATTAGTTCTCCCAAATCTAAATTGATTGAGACTTGACTGGGACAAGCACCACATTAATTTTGCCAGTAGTTCATAAGTAACAAACAGGAAATTTTATGAGTTTCATATATTGATAGGAACATTTCCTCTGACATTGATTGCATACTTCTCGCTATAAAAAATTACAGTAGCTCTCAGAGTCTATGTTCTGGAGGCCTTCATTTTTCTGTGCAAGCAGACAAAGATAGGAAACATCTATAAATGCACCACTGGAACAGTTTTGAGTTCAGCTGGATAACCATATTTAGTAAATACTTTCATCATATACTTTCTGATATAATTTATAGGCTTCTATTCAGGATTGTCTTTATAGAACTGTGTATAAGGAAAGCTCTGGAGGTAGTGAAATGACAATGAAGTTTATAATCTCATTAAGGAAGTGTTGTTAGGAAAGGCTAGTGAGAGCACAAGAATACCATTGTAGAAGCTGTTACACGCTGTCAATGCAGAAATGAATTGTAGTGTGCAAAGAAGAAGAGGAAAATGTGTACGTTTCATTTCTAATGTGTAAATATTTTCATTTTTCAGGCCATTTTCAATCTCTTCCTAAGCTTGGAAAGATAAACTTCCAGTAAGCAACTGGGATTTCTTATTTGCTCATTGACAAATAAATTATTTATGGTTGGAACACTAGGATGGGCAGTCACACATAAATATGTTTTCTGAAGCTTCTGATGAAAAAAGTAGGAACAATTACAAAAAAAAAGTGTGGTGGTGGATTTGTTAGCCTTCTGTGTTCTTTAGATTTGGGAGTTTTAGTTTTTACAGAAAAAGATATCTCAACGCGCATCATGATGGGGGTTTCTTGGTCAATAGAAACTACCAAAAATCCCCAAAACTTTAGAGAAGCATTCCCTTTGCTTTTAGTAATTCTGCTATTAAGGAAATTATCATAGCAATTGTCTTAACTAAAAGAGTAAAATGCTTAAGGTAGTATAAGTAGTCTGTGTCTGAATCTAAGTATTTCTGTATCTTTCCGGAATAAGTAATTTATACAACAGACAACTTAACTGATGCCATTAGTATTTAAACATTACCTAGAAGATATCTGCACTATGTTTAGGAAGATTTGTTATTTTATGGGTTTTTTTGTAATTTTTTTTCTGCAAGAACTTTTGTTGTACTCGTAAATAAATAAGTACAACTAACGGCTTGGCATGTGCCTCGACTTGCCATGTACTTAAGACACATAATAACATATGTCCAAATTATACTTGTCTGGGCTAAAATAGCCCAAATAATGAAGCTCTTTTTTCTAATCTTTCAGCTGCTTTTACCAGACTTAAAATGATGTGGAAATTACATGGCTTAATTGCCCTTTCTCTATTGAACATGAAGTACATTTCCTAGTTGTTTTCTCCTTTTAGCCTGACAAAAGGCATGAGGCCCAGCATAGAAAGCTTCACTGAAAGTATTTCTTTCTGTGATCATTGGCATCATCACTGCACATACCACTTCAGTGTTGATGATGTGTTCTCCGTAATTTTCTTAATATCTTCCAAACATGCCGCTGCATTTATTGGTCACTGTGTAAAGAACAATTAATGCAGTGGTTTCTCTGTACCTGAGAATGGGATGGCAATTTCGTGGGTCTGAGGCTGAAAGGAGGCTTCTCTGCATAGCCTTGTCCCTTAACATTTTCCATCCACAGGGTTCTGCATAGCAATTTTTCCAGAGACAGTGTGATCATGGCCATGATGAGAAGCAGGGTGTCTTTGTAGATGGGATTAGGCTTGCTTTTAGTTTTTAAGAAGACTGTGACAAACAGAGCAAAGCAGAAGGACATAGATGGTTTTTAGGTAAAACATGCACAGAAGTAAAACTAATTTTTTTTATTACAGAAGAGTGGTTATCTAGTTTTGAATGGGGAGAGCAGCAACATTGGTTTCTTTGCTTCTCTGGCTTTTGAGACTGAATATTGATGCTGTGAAAGGAAGAGAATGACATGGTGATGCTGCCTAAGTATTGAAAAGGAGAATGAACATGAGTGAATAAAATGGTTTCCTGTAAATTGTCTGAGCCCTAGCTTCCTAATAATGACTTTAATGAGGTCAGGGTTTTTTTACTGTGAGATTATTGACAATGTATGGGGTAACAAAATTATTTTGTAATGATGAATTAAATGTAGAAAACTGAATGTGGAGCCTTGCTATCAACAACAATACAGACTATAGGATTAAAAACTGGACAGTTCAGGATAGGAATCTGTGGTTACTAGGCACTTTCAGTGTCTCGACTTTCTTTTCTTGCTGCTCACTTTTTCATGTGTGCAATAATGGTTTGCAATTATGGAGTTTAGCAGGAGGATCTGCTGGTTTTTTAATGCAGGCATTGCTACCTAATGAATTTTCCACTGAGTAAGTTTAGCCATAATTTTTAATTTGAATATATTCTTTATTAATGTGGAAAGGTACAAAATATTTTCATAGTTTTTACTCTTTAGCACAGTTATTATAAAGAAAAAAGGCAGTCTTTTCTTCCTTGGTAGAATGTTGATGAAATGAGGGTGGATGCCACGTGGTTGCATGGCTTTGAATTAATTGAATTGTGTAGGTTGTCAAGTCAGTGAGAGATGGAGAAATTCAAGTATACTTGATAAATCATTTCCTGGTATTATAAGCAATCATCCTGGGTATGGCTGGGATAGAGTTAATTTTCTTCTTAGTGGTGTTTTTGATTTAGAGTGAGAATAATGTTGATTAACACACTGATGTTTCAGTTATTGCTAGGTAGTGCATACCCTAAAATGAGAACTTTTCAGTTTCCTCTGCTTTGCCAGTGAGGAAGTGCATAAGAAGCCAAGAGAAGCAAAACCAGGAGAGCTGCCCCAGACTGACTAAAGGGATATTCCATACCATAACCTCATGTACAATAAACGGGGGGGGGAGTTGGGTGGGAGCTGCTCATACAGCTTGAGGACGGCTGGACACCAGTCAGCAAGTGGTGAGCAATACTGAATTATGTATATCACTTGTCTTTCTTGGGGTTTATTTCTCTCTCTCTCTTTTTTTTTTTTTTTTTTTTTTTTTGTAGTCTTACTTTTCTTACAGTTGATTTTGTTATCATTATTATTACAATATTTTAATTTTAGTTGCTTTTATCCATTTTTCCCCAGTCGTCCTCCCCAGCCCTCTGTGTGATGGGGAGTAATTGAGCAACTGCATGTTACTTAGTTGCTGACTGGGATTAAACTACAACAGCATGATATTGTCTATGTTTATGAATTTCATCCCAGAGGAAAAGAAAAAAACCATATTGCTCTTCATGTCTACAGTGCTCAGAATTGTATTTTGATGTATTCAGAACCTAAGTTTGAGGAACAACTGTTTCCTGACAACAAATACTGTTCGCATTATCTCTTTTGTGAGTATTATTATCATTGTTTTAACATACATTGTTTATCATGTATGTTACTTGTATCATATTCATCTTGTTCCTGAGAACTAAGTTGCATTCAAGGGTAATACTGTCTTTTTTTGGTGATTTTTATGAGGTAATAACGTACAGGAATCATTAGCCCAAATGTAATTGAAGCCTGAAACTGTGACAACTGAGAAAATGTGTGTTTTTAGTGATATGAAGACTGTCTTCAGTTTAAAAGTAAGCTGCTAACAGATGTTTAGAACACTCTTCTTTTTCTTTAACAATGTGAGTCAAACCCTGAATAGTAGGAAAACAGCTTCCTGCTAAGCCAGTTGTATCACAAATTTATTATACCATGTTTGCTAGACTGTTGGATTACACTGGGCCACTCTAACAATTCTGAGTGTTAAATAAGTTTCTCTAAATATTTTATCTTTTCAGTTAGTGCTGGAGAGGAAAAACTGAAAGGGTTTCCATTACACCAAATTAAGATTCCCCTTTTTTGTCTGACAGTGAAATTCCATCCTACCCCTTGACAATCTTTATCAACTTAAATCGCTGAAGTAAGAAATAAGAGGAAATATATATGAGGTCTAGATTCAAAAAACTAATGGCAAAGAAATGATCTTCCTCCTCATTGAAGTATGTACCTTCAGGTGTAAATCACCAAAACTGCATGAGGAAATTGTTGTTCCCTTCCTCAGGTGGTGTGAATTTAATCCTTTAATCCAAATTAGTGTCCTAGCTACAAACAGGTAAGTATTCTAAGATCTCTTTTTTTGATACTGCTGTTTTATTTTGCCTGATAAATAAAGCTAGGAAAACTCAGTAAGTCAGTTAATCTCAGCATTAGATTGTAGCATTATTAGTGTTTTATAAAAATTAAAATAGTTTTATAAAAAGGAATGTGTAAGATTCAAATCAGAATTTTATATAATATTTTAGTGACTAGAAAACTTACTTGTCAGATGAGAAACTTCTGCTGAGTTCACTTTCTATTTAATTTATGAAAAAGTATTAGAGTCCAGATTTCACAGGGAATGTAAATAAGGTGATTTCAAAGACAGCATTGAAGTTAAACCCATTTACCAGAAAACCAAGGCTTGTATACATAATAAAGTGCAACTATAAAAGATCAAGTTTCAAAATACTGTTATTTTTTTGAACCCCTGCTTACATGAATATGGAATGCTAATTTAAAATTATGTTTTGTTTATTAACTTGTCTATATAAAGTAACATTTTTTATAACTTTGCCCTTCTTTTCTTTTAACAGCACCTTCAGGCTTGAAGGAATACCTATATTTGGAGGCACGTCAATTAATTTGCATATCAGATTCATCATTGTGACTTCTTGCAGGCCAGATCTGAGAAGTAACCAGGAAAGCTGACCCTTAGTGGAGAATGGAAAAAACCTTGAAGTCAGAGCACAACTGATCACTAGTGTAACCTGCATTGAATCATCTTTCTCAGATCTGACAGCTACAAGCTGAGTCCTGGCAAAAGCCACAGCCTTAAATTCCATTTAGTGGGAAAGAAGGATAAGACAGCTCAATGTCTCGCCCTGTTGCAGAAACTGCTGTCTCCAAGCCTGACACCTGAGTTCTGTGCTGAGCAGCCAGAGTACCAACCAACCAGTTTTTCATGGGTACAGCCAGCATCAACAAATATTTCAAGACATAGCCAAAAGGAGAAACAAAGCACTTACATAATTTCAGAAAATGGATACATTTATTGTAACAGAGGAATGTTACTGTCTGTGGGGAAGAAGACCTCTGTCACCCCTTGTACATATTGGAAGCCATACAGGAGCAGGGCATAAGTGAAGCCCAGTCACTTAAAAGGATGGTGTCTCCTGTCCTTCACCCACCTTTGAGGAAGTTCCGCTCTTAGAGATTGCATCTCAATGCACTTCTATTATTTGCACTGTCACTTCCATTCAGGGTAATGATGTGTGCCACCATTTGCACAGATGGCCCCAGGAGATTTTTGACCACAACAAGCTATACTTTGCCAGGGCTCCAAAAGGAATTAAAAAGTTAAAACTGAAGAAAGACATTTATGCTCTCTTTCACTATGGGGATCTCTTCATAGAAAGGACTATGGTTCTTTCTTAGGATGAAATAAATACATGCATATACATACATATATACATATGTATATATATGAAAAAGCAGCAACATGATAGGGTGTATTTAAAAAGGGGATATAATCTTTTTGATAGCATCCATTTTTTTTATCATATTAGCAGCCGAGAAATTTAGTCTATTGAATTATACATCAAAAAATGTTCCTACTGAACATTGACATTTAGTCCCAGTTACTGCTAAAGAAGTCATTTGTAATATGTATTTGACATAAAATTTTTCTAGCCATTTGTCTATACTTCATGGAGAAATCTAACAGACAAGCAACATTTTCAGTTTATTTTTCTAAATAAATGTTTTGTTTGTATTATTTGCAGTCACTCATTTTGGCTGGTTTTCATTATCTCCTAATGTGATTTAAAGACAGAACCAAAACACAGGGATTGTTTGTTCTTGTTAAGCTGTAATGATTTGCTGAATGAAAGCTTTAATATAAATACTGTAATTTGTAAAATGATGAAGTATATTTATATAGGCAAATATGTATGGAAAACAAAAGGAGGTATTTTATCTCTTAATTTCAGAACATAGTTTATTTTAATATCCACAGGAAGAAATTAAATATATAATGGGATAGGGTTTTTATTATAAGTGAAAATCTGGATGTTTAAGAATGAAATGAATGTAGTCAAATAATGGTGGTTTCCCAAATTATACAGAGACCTTTTGCCAGCTGTCTCATTTTACTCAAAAACTGGTTTAGTCATCTGGGGGGGTCGGGTTTTTCTGGGGTGGGTGTGTGTGTGCTAAGCTTTTTGTTTAGTGCTTTGTTTGTTTCGGCATACTGACAAGACCATGAGTTTGATACTGTTTGCTCACAATTTGAAAAGCTACAGAATAAAAGATGGTTTCTTAGAACAATCTACAGTTTGCAGTTAAGAACAGCCATTGTTATCCATCTAATGCAGTGATTTGTTGTAGAGTTATTGAACATTTCAATAGTAGAGCTGTTTTGAATAAAAATGGGTTTTTTCCTTTTTTTTCTTAGTCCATTAGCCTATGTGTAATTTAAAGAGAAAAGTAATGCATTTTGTTCCCAGTTCACTTAAATCATTTGTCTTAAATCCAGTTATATGTATCTGTTTCATATAGCTGAATAGGCTTTTCTTTCAAAGTTCATTGCTTTATGGAAGCATTTAAGTGCTCACTAAAAGAAAAAATACCTTTCAACAACAAAAATTAATTTAAAATAATCTGTGGGTTAACTTTGTGAAGGGCAGATACCTTAAAAATGTGTCGCTCTGCTCTAATGTACTAACAAGTGTTACGCGTGTACGTTCGTGTGTGTGTTTTCACGCATGGCACCCTTACCTGCTCATGAATGAAATGCCAGCTCTGCTGAAGTAAGTGCCACAAGTCCTGTTACTGCAAAAGATGCTCATGTTACTGTATTTTTTGGTGAAAGACCTGAGCTCTGTCTTTGCTTGTGACTCTGAAGCCATAAGCAGCTTTTGAAGTTTGTCAGGAAATCAGAAAATTTAGTAGGTTTATGTTAGACTCCCTCATTTGACAAAGATTGGAATGATCTTATGATTTGACTCTTTTTATGGAAGTTAGTGGTCAATTTCCTTTGGTGCAATGGATACATGCAACCTTTGTATTTGTTAAAGAATGATGGCTGTGTTTTGTTCACACACAATTTAGCTTTTGGCTTATAGTGTTCTTACTGTGATGTTATTTCTATGTCATTAGAATACATTATTCGGACACACAACTGGCATGGGCTTGGTTTTCCTCCATTTCTGGATCATCTAGATTTTAAAATTGGAGAGCTTGTTCTTTGAGACAAATATTCAGTTGTTTAAGAAAGGGACAACATTATTGAAACAATAAGAAAATTTCAGAATGATAATTTGAACACTTCTGTCATTGCCTAATAACAACACTTGAAAAAGCTTTTATTTTTGTGAACAAAATGCATTCATCTGTATTGGAAAATAGCCCAATAAAAATCCAGTGGAATAATTTGTTATTACTTGCAAATACTTTTCTGCTGTGCTGAGTTCTAGATCAGCTTGTGTGTAAAATTTTTATTGCACAAAATCCACCTGAAAAAAAAAATGCACAGTTTTCTTCAGAAAAATACATGAGATATGAAAAATAATTACTTGGTCCCAGGAGTGGTTTTATGTAACATGTGCAATGCAAAAATGATGAACATATACCAACATGGAGGTCTCATTTAAGTGACAAATGTAGCTGGAAGATAACACTGCAAACCACAGGTCTCACTAATGACGTGCTGTTATTTGTACCTCTGCTTAACTGGGACTTCATGCTGGAAAGTAAATTTCAGGGTGTATGCAGAGTCATACAGTGTCATGTATCATGTCTTATTTTACTAGCAGTGTCATTGGGAGAAGTCCAGATTGCTTGATTTTCATAGATTTAATTTAAATCTTTACATAAGTATTAGATATCGGGTATCAATAGAGATTATGTCTGTATATTGTACAGATACTCCCATGAGATAGCATCTCAACACAGAATTTCAGAAATTTTGGCAAATAATTAGCACTGAAATGCTTTTTTTCTAGTTTAAAACCAGAGGAGATAGTTAGATTATCTCCTTGAACAGCAAAAAAATTTTGTTATTTCCATTCTGTTCATCCAAGCATACTGATGAGACCAGAAGAACTCTTTCAACTAAGATGACTTTACAACGACTGACGGGTCCTATCTATGTGTCATGCATATAAGAAATGCCTACAGAAATAATTCTGTAGTAATAGAGCATTGTTTCATTGGCTAGCATCTGAAAAGCCACTTAAAATAGATTTGAAAGGATGAGGTGTGCAAAACAAAATCCTGACAGTTCTAGATGTGTCTACAAGACATAATTTCAGCACTTAAATTTTTGAAAGAGCATATCATCGTTCATGAGAAAAAAAATGGGATATGTTAAAATATCTCTTTTGCAAAGTGGAAGAAAAAGATTACAAAAACCTGGTGATCACCAGGATGTTATAAAAGCATCCCTCTCCTGAGAGTTGCCCCAAGTGTCACATGTTGCAAATGTCACCAAGGGACAGATTTTTTTTCTCAGATCAGTGATGTACTGGGTACATAGCAAGGCAGTGATGCTGTCAATAAAGCCTGACCACAAGACAGTGGTGGGTTATTGTCTAAGGAGGGATGGAGGAAGGACAGCCATCACTCTGCCCTGGAGCTCTCCCCAAGGGAGGAGGCTGGGTCTTAGGAGGAATAAAGATTTATCAGACTAAATCAGTGATTTTCATGCACTGGACTGTTGAAGATGCCGTGAGAGAGGAAGCAAAAGCCAAGTGGATGTTGTTCAAATTACTTCTCTCTGTAGGTTCCATATCCTTGCAGAGCTGCCAGAAAGCCATGAAATCTCCCCAAAGTTGGGCTGAACTTCAGAAAAGACAATTATAACCAGGGACTCCTGTTTGGGAGAATCTGGGAGAGGGTTAAGTCATGGCAGATGGCACAGAGACTATTTAAGGTATTACTGAAGGCAGAGAACAAATACATTCTGCTTAGCTGGAAAGGCTTGAGAAAGGGTAAAAGGGAAACTGCATGGCTAATCAGCAGGGTATCAGAGGCTACTGAGGGCAAGACGTCCTTCAGATAGCTGAAGATTTTTCAAGAAAATGTAAGGACTAAATGTGAGACTAACTATAATTTAAAAAAAAAAAACAAACAAACAAAACAGACAAAACAAACAAGCCCAGAGCAACATTAATCAAAGCAGTTCCAAGATACTAAAGAGATTTGTCAGCTACAGTAGTTGAAAGAAAAGCGAATTAAGAAATTCTGTTTCTACGACATCACAGAGGGAAGTCTGGGTGTCGGTCTGTAATGCTGAAAGATAATCAAGGAAGCACTTAGAAGAAGCTATAGGAACAAAATTGTAGCATTTTATTTCTGCTCATGCTGTGGAAGGACTTTTCTAGATTCATACACATGAATTTTTGTGGAGGAGCTCATGCGAAGTCATGGTTTGTCAGTTTGAGGTGGTACAGAACAAAATGAAGGGATATACACCTAAGATTTTCAAAGACAGTCAGGGATGAAATAGCCAAACTGTACCTGTCGTGTGAAATTCATTGTTTAAAGCTATTTTGATAGCTTTTGAGATGTGAGGTTGCACCTATGTTGCCATTTAGATTGAAAGAGTATGGTCTATTATATCAGTAAGGGGCAGAAGGGTTCAAACTGTAATAATATCCTTCTAGAAAGAGCTAGAATGCATCTAATGGTGTCAATATTACCAAAACCACAGGAAATTGCACAGATGACAAAGAGAAAACACAGAGGAAACTGTAGCTGGCTTAGAAGAAAGTTACTGCACTCACAAAAAGGTGTAAAATATTGAAGAAAATAGTGATTTTTGTGTCAGTTTTCACAGGATGACAGAGGCCAAGAGTGAAGTTCCAGGGGACATATTCTGTGATCCATGTGTCTTAAAATATATTTGAACATGTGAATATGCTGGAAAAGTAATGTATAATTATTTGGTAAATTTGGTAATCATATTAAGTTATTAAAGGTGTTAAATAGGAGTGGCCTGAATGACTGGTTATTAAAATTAAAAATTAAATTCAATGAAGATAAATGTAAACTGTTATGAAAACAATTTTATATTTTATATATTTCACTTAGCTTTATATTTAGCAGTTAAATGTTTCTATGAAAATGTTGGTTTTGTGCTTAAGAGGTCAGAAAAAAATGCAAGTGTGCAATTAACATTTATTAGGAAAGCAGCAGAGAAAATAAGTGAACATTAAATATATCATTGTATCAATCAATAGATATGCAGTAGCCCTGATATTTAACTTTCTAAATACTATGCCCAGTTTATTGACTGGAAAACAAAAAACAAAAAACAACAACAACAAAAAAAACCAACAAAAAATAAAAAGTGATCAAATTGAAAAAGCTTCAGAGAATGAATGAAAAAGTGGAAAAATAAAATAGCACAGTTAGATTCTGTCTGTGAGGTGACAGCAGGCAATAATTCTTCTGCTCAGCAAAGGTGTGAAAGAGAAGTAAAGTGACAAGATCATGAATGGCATCAAGTGTGTAGGGGACATCAAATAAATCTAGCCACTGGGAAGCTCAAAAATAACACAAAACTTTATTTAAGCAATGTGGCGGGAAGCTGTGAGACTCTGTCACTCAAAACATATTGCATATGCTGAAAGTTTATGGGAATAAGGAGCTGTGAAAAGGAAAAATAGTAATTGAGAGCTGCTAAATGAAGTGATCCTGGTTTTGCCTCAGTGAAGACCCACTGGTGTCAGGGTGAGTATAATGAAGAGGAATTTCTACATGTGTATTCTGGATCACTGTCAGCTGCTTTTGCATATTCCATTTACATAAACCGAAACCAGGGGCAGAAAATTCTGTTTTTGCAATGGGTACTGTGTACTTTATAGAGGCACAAAGAAATTAGCAAAACCAGCTAAAAGTTTTCATATGGAAAGCACAAAAATCCCTAAATCCTTCAGACAGGTAAGGGATGATATTCTGGAAGTTATGTCATTATTAATTCACTTTTTCAGTAATGTGTTACATTGAGGTTTATCTACTGAGATTTAAATAGTCACGTGTAGTTATTAAGAGGACTAATCTCAAGCAAGAGATTAATGTTTCAGGAAGTAAAACATCCCAAATTTTTAAAAAAAACCTGCAATCTTTTGATTAATACCGATTATATGTTCATTTAAAATAAACACGTGTCTGTTTATTTGTTTCCTTAACTTTATCACTGAAATAAATATCCTTTACCAATACATATAGTTGCATTGCAAGTTGTGAATAGAAACCACCTGGATAATCAGAATGAGAAACTTAGATTTTAAGAATCTGAGCCCCACGTTGATCAAACTCCCTTTGAATCATCTACATTTGAATAACTGGAGAGTTTTTACAGATTTCCACCAAACTGACAGCAACTGGGCATTTGAAAAAAACATTATTTATAGTGGAAAATTTGACACTTTATTTTGTTAGAGAGATTAATACCTAAAATGTATTACTTGATGACCTTGTCAATAGGATTTAAAACTTCTGAAAATTAAATTGCTAGACCATCTAAAATTATGAATGAACCAAAATCTGTATGTAATGTGGAATGCAATGGAATTTATTTGATTTAGCCTATTATTTGTTTCCATTTAAACAGATTTTGCAACAGCCAGAAATACATTGTGGAAAAAAAAATGTACAATGAGATCTTTTTCCTAGAGAAGCATGTTTTAAAGTTGTTGTATCTTCAAGAATATGTGCATCTCTAATTACTATAATTCAGTGAGCAAAATATTTATTACTGTTGTGACTATCATTGTTACAGTTGTGGTACTGTTGATGAAATAGGACAACACATTTGGTTTTAAAATTGTTTTTCATCTATATTTAGAACAAATTATTGCTTTTTCTCCAGTTTTTCTATGATGCTTACTGCTTTTGTATTGCTAAAAGCAACTTCTGCTTATCTCATTCCTCTCTTTTCAAGCCACAGCTGTCATTGTGACATTGTAAAACTAAATTAATCTACTGGGAATTCATTTCTGTTGATCGTATGCCCTCTTCTTTTTACTGAGAAGCAGATATTGCAGGAGGATCTTGTGTTAACAGATTTATTTTAAATCAGTAATTGGTACTGATTTTATCTTATATTAAAGTAAATGCATGGTATTTATGTGCAAAAGGTAACTAAATACACTGTCTCTACTACTGGCTGTTTAAACAGTTTTCTAAGTTAATTTAGAGTATCTTGAAAGTGGATGAGAAGTATTTCCATCTGCCTGGTTATGGTTTTGTTCTATTTGAACTAACCATGTGTTGCTTTGAATGGAATTCATTTAACTTAATGAAATCACTAAACTATCTTTTTTCACTTTGCAAAATTGCTATTTTTCCTTTACATTGTAGAGGATCCTACCTCACACTTAAACAAGTCTTTAATTGGGATTTAAAACTACTTTTTTTTATTTTTTATTTTATGCAAGGAAGACAGTAAACAAACAATGATAAAATGTAGAGTAGTAAAAGGGAGATATTTTTAAAAATAAAACCAAAAAGGTAAGCAAATTCAAATTTGTTTTGGAAAGCTACAGTCACAAATAAACTGAAAATGCATTATAAGAGATGGCTAAAAGATCTAAATTGTGACAT